CCCTTGTGTGCCTTCTAGGCTTTGAAATATCAGTATCTCTAGGAACCATGGGTGGTTTACAAATGAAGAGGAGGAGAAAAGAGGAGTTAAAAAAATAAATAAAAGGGGGCATTCTTGGAACTGACTTTGGGAATACTGAGAAAGAGGAAGTGGCTATTTTTTCAACCTGCAACAAATATTTTATGAACTCCACTACCTGTGAGGACCTAGGGACATGGTGACCCTGTTCTCTCTGGGTCCTTAAATAGACCATTTGAATATTGTGTGGCAAGGCTAGGCCAGGGGTAAGCAGACTGTGCTGCCTGTATATACAGAAGGAAGCCCTGAGTGCGTTAGGAGGGTCAGGCAAGCCAAGCTAAAGATGATAGATGTGGGCCATAGAAGTCAGCAAGGTGCAGGGTCTCAGAGGATGCCTGACAAGAGGGGAGACTCAGGCAAAGGCCAGGCTCATGCCTGAGCCTTTGGGTAAGGACATGCACTGCATAGTGGAAGAAGGCTAGACAGACAAGGACGTGGAGTACTGGGAGAGGAGGGCAGGGAGTAGAAAGGGAAGTGGAGGCTAATTATAAGAACATGGTGTTCTCTGAAGGTTACCTGCCATATCTTTATTTTTTTTTTGTTGTGTATTTATTTATTTTGTACTGGGAATTGAACCCAGGGCACTTAACCACTGAGCCACGTCCTAGCCTCCCTTTCTCTCTCTCTCTCTCTCTCTCTCTCTCTCATAGATAGATAGATAGAGAGAAAGGGTATTGCTAAGTTGCTGAGGCTGGCTTCAAACTTAAGATCCTCTTGCTTCAGCCTCCTGAGCCACTGGGATTATAGGCATATGCCACCACACCCAGTTATCTGCCACTTCTTGATTAGAGATGTGGTCTTAGGATCCAACATAAGTCCAGTAAGGACAAATGATACCAGGTTTAGCTCACTTCCTTTTTGGATAGGGTTACTGGACTATCAGGTGAGAGGAAAGCAGTATTTCCAATACATGGTGGGCACAGTCTTGGGTTAGGTGACAACCCAGTTCAATTGCTTCATGACTGGTCTACTCTTCTCACACAGGACTATTTAATGATCAGTGTTTGTCTAGACAGTGGTTCCTGACCACCTCTGAGCTCTGTCCAGCTAAATGTTTTTATCAGTGACTTAGATTACAATGCAAACGAACTTGGTTTGCAAATAATGGGAAGGCAGAGGAGGTGTAGTAAAGATGGTGAATGATAAGACCCAAAAGAGACCTCAACAAACAGTAACTGTAATAAATAGTGTCCAAAGATAAGGAGCAGCCTGTCTTAGGGTACATTCCAATCTTGGCAAATACAGACATAGAAATGATTTACATGTCAGGTGTTAGGTTGGACTTAGACCAAGGGTTGGCAAACATTTTCCAGTAAAAGGCCAGAGAGCTTTGTGGTCCATTATAGTCTCTGTTGCAATTATTCAGCTCTGTCTAGCATGAAAATAACCAGAGACAATATATAAAAGAAAAGGCTGGGCACAGTGGCACACACTTATAGTCCCAGCACCTGGGAGGCTGACAAGGAAGAATCATTTGAGCCCACGAATCCAAGACCAGTCTAGGCAGCATAGCAAGAAAAAAAAAAAGTGTGCCAATAAAACATTGTTTATAAAAACAATCACCTGCTTGGATTTAACCTGCAGGCTAGAGTCTGCCAAGCCCTAGATTCAAGAGTGATTTCCAGACACTGACCCTCCCAACAGAACTAGTCAGTAAATATTGTCACCAGTCTATACAGAAATAAGGAAAATAGGGACAATGTAATACGTTTGGAGTAAGATTAAATTCATTCTCTTCAAACAACCCTCCTGAATTTGGAGATTCTTTCCTGCTCTTCTGCTGCTCAATTGTTTTTTCCTTTGTAACATGAGGGTAATAGGAGACTGCAGTTTTCAGCTCTGCTTGTTATTCAGACTTCTACTAAAAACTCAGGACTGTGAATTTCCAGTTTGAAATGTTACAAGCCTGTGAGGTGCAGGTGCTGGGGAACCTCAGTGCAGGAGGATGCAGAGGTGTGACCCCGGGCCCTCACCCCGTGCTCTGTCTGTCCTACCCCCCCCTCCCGCCTGCTGGCAGCGGTGGTTGGTGCTGGGATCGGGGGCTCTGCTGTGGCCCATTTCCTCCAGCAGCACTTTGGACCCCGAGTGCAGATCGACGTGTACGAGAAGGGAACTGTGGGTGGCCGCCTGGCCACCATCTCAGTCAACAAGCAGCACTACGAGAGCGGAGCAGCCTCCTTCCACTCCTTGAGCCTGCACATGCAGGATTTCGTCAAGCTACTGGGTAAGTGCCAGGATCTGGGGCTTTAGCACCCCAGGGCTGGCAGCAGCCACCAGGCCCTTCCCAGACTGCCCAGACCTATGAGGCCCAATGGTCATATAGCCCAATCTCCTCATTTTACAGATGGAGCAGCTGAGACCAGAGAGGGGAAGGAACTTACCTGAGGTTACACAGTGAGTTAGTTTCAGAGCCGGGATTAGAACTCAGGTTTGACTCCCAGGCCAGTTTCTTTCCCTTTCAATTTGCTGCCTCTGAATTATTGTGATTATATCAGCCCCCCATGCTGGTACCTGCCAGCTATTTGGTACCCTTCTAGGTAATATGTAAGAATTACCTCACATCCTCCTTACCAGCCTGAGAGATGGGGGTGAGATCTTCCCCAAGGAAACTGAGGCCCCAAAGTTTTAAACTCCTCAACTAAAAGCACACAGCTAATAAATCAGGAAGCTGGGATTCAAACCCAGCAGCATCTGTCCAAACCACAAATGTACTTACTGTTTGACCCAGAAATTCCACTTATCAGAAGTGAACCTACAGGTGGTCCCACAGGTGTATGGAATGGCACACACATGAGCCGGTTCATTACGGCATTGTTTGCACTAGCAAAGATTGAAAATGTCATCTCTGCCCACCCACTGGGACCTACTAATTGACAATAATAAATACCTGATTGTGTAAGTACACAATTCAACAGCCAGAATGGGAAGATTCTTTATACCCAGTTATAGAATAATCTCCAAGATATTATATGTTGTTAAGGTGCAGAACAGTGTGTATTATATGTGAGGTGGGGAAGGAATTAAATGATGGCTATTTGCATATTTCCAAATCCAGTGCTTTGTAGGTTGTAGAGCACTGGACAGCTGGAAGGAGCTATGGCTGTCTCCATGTTACCTTGGTGCCCAGGACCCCATCTCAGCAAGCCCCATGTTTCTCAGCCACTGGCACTCTGGGATGACGTCTGTATTTTTCTTACATCTGAGTGGATTCCCATTTAAAAATATATAAAATGCTATATTCTTTTCCTAATTGACTAGGAAGGACAAACATTGTCCCAGTGTATTTGTGTGCAGTTTATAGACACACAGCACAAAAGAACAAACCGTGGTGTTCCCGTTTCTTTTAATGGAACCAGCCATTTGCATTAAGAAGGCCCTGAATTTAAGCTTAAGGCACTGACAGGCCTCCCAGGGGAGGGGGAGTGCCTTTGAAGGGGACCTGAGGGGCTTCTGGTTTCTGCAGGGCTGAGGCACCGTCGTGAGGTGGTGGGCAGGAGTGCCATCTTCGGCGGAGAGCATTTCGTCCTGGAGGAGACTGACTGGTACCTGCTGAACCTCTTCCGCCTGTGGTGGCACTATGGCATCAGTTTCCTGAGACTGCAGATGTGGGTGGAGGAGGTCATGGAGAAATTCATGAGGTAGGGCTGGGCCAAGCTGTGGGGAGGGCTTTCCAGGGGATCAAGGTGAAGAGCTCAGGAAATTAGCAGCTCAGCAGCTCAGCCATAGTGAAAAGGGAAAGGTACTGGTGGATTTAAAGGCCCAGCATGATTCAGTGCAGGCTTTCAGCAAGCCCTCATCCTGAGGAGTGGCCTCTTGGGGCAGGGCTGGTGCCTCTGGCATTGTTACTTGAGCCCATATTCTTTCCTGCTGCTAAATCAATTGGAGCGTGGATTGAAATTCAGTCACCTACAAGGGCCAAAGTGGGATGTGCATAAGTGAAGCCACTGGTGGAAGACGGCATGGAGCCACAGGAAGTGGGGGGACCTGAAAAGACAGGTCAGCAGAGGGAGGCTGTCAGCATGCTTCTGCAGTCCCCTGTGGTCAGTCATGGGAGGATGTCACCCCACAGGCTAAGTCTTCCAATTTTTCAGGAAGGAAGCTGGAAATCCAGAGTTATACATGAAGTCTCCCAGCTTTTCAATGTTTGCCACGAATTCATCTTGTAAGCCAAATTTAACAAATCTGCAGGCCATGTGCAGCCCAGGGCCACTCATTTGCAAAGTTTGCTATCCCTAGTTTTTCCATCTAGAACAAATACTTCTCTTCACCACTTCTCTCCTCCTTGGGCACCAGTTCCTCCCCATCACCTTCAGGTATGGAGGACAAGTGGTCTGTGCCCACTAAGTATACCATACATCAAGCATCCACATAGAGTCCCCAAGGCCTCCTGCAGGCTCTCCCTGTTCCCTACCTCCTCCCCCTGCAGAGATTGTCCCTTCACCATCATCATCCCCCTCTTCAGTGTCAGATGCTCAAGCATGGCCACATGGCCCCCTTCCCTGCTCTCTGGCCCTCCCCCATCCTCTTTCATTCCGTAACTACTTGGATATGGCATTTCTCCCTTATATTCTCCAGATGTCCCCCACAGCTTATGTCCTTGAGTCTCATTTTTTCTTTCTTTTTCTTTTCTCCCTTATTAATTTTATTTGAACCTACAATGTTGACTTCTCCCTGTTATGGGAGATGACTGCTACCTGCCAGCTCTAGTTTCCCCTTCAGTTACAGACCCACATTTCCATCTGCTCTGGACACCTTTATCTTTTGTCCTGTTAGCAACCCAACACAGCATGTTTACAAGGCAGCCCTAGAATGGGCAACATTTCAAAGGCCAGCTGGTCTAGAAATCCATAGGCAGATGTTTCCAGTCCGTGCTAGCCCTTGGGATTGGGTGAATGAGCCGTACCATGTGAGCTTGAGTTACTGGGAGTTCTGTTGGATGAAGACAAAGGAGAGGACAGTATTGACAGGAGGCTGCTGATATCAGGTCCAACATGGTCTTAGAAGCCAGGGCAGAGTGGAAACTAGTGGGAGACCCCGCTCCACATCCGGGGATGTATCAGTGTGGACAGGTCATGGCCACTGCCTGCATTCCTGTGGACTGACCTCAGGGGAGTGGGATATAATTGTATTCAACAGAACTGTGGCTTGAAGCCACATCTAGTGGGAATACTTGCCTTTGTCTCCGTGCCGTTCCTCTAGGACAGGCCCAGCACAGCCAGAAAATAGGCCAAAGGGAACATAATCAGCCTCCTTTCTCACCTCTCTGGAGGTAGAGGAGGAGGCAGATCCCTGGTGGGCCTTCTGGGTCCACAGATACCCAGTGGCAGGTGATCAGCCAGAAGGCCTTTCTGCAGAGGGCTGCAGCTCCTTGTGTCCTCTAGGATCTACAAGTACCAGGCCCATGGCTATGCCTTTTCGGGTGTTGAGGAGCTGCTGTACTCACTAGGAGAGTCTGCCTTTGTCAACATGACCCAGCGCTCTGTGGCCGAGTCCCTGCTTCAGGTGGGCGTCACCCAGCGCTTTATTGACGATGTTGTCTCTGCGGTCCTCCGGGCCAGCTATGGACAGTCAGCAGCCATGCCCGCCTTTGCTGGTGAGTATCCAGCCCCTCAGCCTGCCCATCCGCCCTCCCCCTGCCCATAGTGCCCAGATTGAGCTGTGGTCCCCATAAGAACCTTACATTTATCCAGGTCATTACCCTTGCCTTCGTACTTGGTTGCCTAATTCTTGTTTGATTCTGGCTCATTCCTCCAAGTTGGCAAGACGGTATTCACATCACTTTATAGAAGGTAAAAGCAAAACTTAGAGGCAGGTCCAGTATGTACCCACCATTCCTGATTTCCTGCTAATACTTTACAGATGTGTAAATATTAGAGCTGAGGTGATATTTTGCTGTCCACAGTTTGGTTTCAAGGAATACCCTGTTGAGGCCTCTGTGCCCTGGCTGTTGAGCCATTAGTGCACCTAATCTTCCCAGCTCCTTACTGGGGTGGGTAGGCAGGTACAAACCCACCATCCTCCTGCTTAGCCCCAAGAATAAAGAACATAGGCTTCACAAGGGCAGGATTCATGCCCTCTTTTGCTCACTGATACATCCCAGATACTTAGAACAGTGCCCGGACCATGCTAGGCACTTAGTGCACTTTTGTTGAATAAGTGAATAAAAAGGTGTGGATTGGCAGGCACCTCCCATGAGCCCAGGATCCTGTTTCTCTTGCTTCTTCCCAGCCTTCGGGACCTGCCTCAGTGTCCCCTCAGTATTTCTCTCTCAGTCTTCTAGTACCTGGTGCATATCCTTCATAGCATATTTGTATTGAGATGTAACTTACACATGATACAATTTACCCACTTTAAAATATACAATTCCATGGGTTTTAGTACAGCTATAGAGTTGTGCAACCATTACCATAATTTTAGGGCATTTCATCACTACAGAAGAAACCCCCTACCTTTGACAACTACAAATTTCTTGTTTTTCTGGATATGCTGATTTGGGGGCATTCTTTAGCAACAGAACTGTACACCATGCAGTCTTTTGGAAATGGCTCTTTTTTTTTTTTTTTTTTTTTTTTTTTTTGATGGTGCTGGGGATTGAACCCAGGTCCTTGTGCATGAGAGGCAAGCACTCTACCAACTGAGCTATATTCACAGCCCTGGGAGTGGCTCTTTTATATTCTCACTTCATAGCATTGTGAACTTGGCTGTATTATTTGTTTTTTATCTCCCTGTGCCCGTGGTTGGGAGTAGTCTTTCCCTGGCAGGGAGATCTGGGGAGAACAGTGCTAGCCTCTCTAGACTCACTTGCCACCCTTCTCATTTTGCCCAGGAGCCATGTCACTAGCAGGTGCCCAAGGCAGCCTGTGGTCAGTGGAAGGAGGCAACAAGCTGGTGTGTTCTGGTTTGCTGAAGCTCACCAAGGCCAATGTGATCCATGCCACAGTGACCTCTGTGACCCTGCACAGTACAGGTGAGTAAGAGGGCAGTTGGCATGGCCACACCATTCCTGCCAGCTGCTACTCCTGCACCTCAACCCTGGGCTGTGTGCTCTGCTGGGGAGTACTTTTGAAAAAGCAGTGGGAAGCCCCATTGACGCTAGAGGGCGCTTTTGCCCTGATTCAAATGTCAGAGCCAGGAAGCTGAGTCTTCCATCAATCCAACCTGTTCCTTTGACCAAGGAAGACTGACAGTCTTTACAGACTCTCTCAGCCAGTCAGCAGCAGAACCAGAGAAGGAACTTGGGCCCCCCTGATTTCAAATCAAGTGCTCACCCTGCAACTGTACCAGTATGAAGAGAGATGGGACAGCCCCGCTCCCTCCTTTTCCACCTTAAGATCTGGCCCCCAGATGGGAGATTTGTGGTTAGAAGACAAGGAAGAAGTTGATTTTGGTGCTGTCTTCTCTTTCCTTCCAGAAGGAAAAGCCTTGTACCAGGTGGGGTACGAGAGTGAACTGGGCAGTGGATCCGACTTCTACGACATCGTGGTCATCGCCACCCCGCTGCACCTGGACAACAGCAGCAGCAACTTCACCTTTGAAGGCTTCAACCCACCCATTGATGATGTCCAGGGCTCCTTTCAGCCCACTGTCGTCTCCTTGGTCCATGGCTACCTCAACTCTTCCTACTTCGGCTTCCCTGACCCAAAGCTTTTCCCCTTTGCTAACATCCTTACCACAGATTTCCCCAACTTCTTCTGCACTCTGGATAACATCTGCCCCGTCAACATCTCCTCTAGCTTCCGGAGGAAGCAGCCTCAGGAGGCAGCTGTTTGGCGAGTTCAATCTCCCAAGCCTCTCTTTCGGACCCAGCTGAAGACCCTCTTCCTTTCCTATTACTCAGTCCAGACAGCTGAGTGGCAAGCGCACCCCCTCTATGGCTCCCGCACCACCCTCCCAAGGTTCGCACTCCATGACCAACTCTTCTACCTCAACGCCCTGGAGTGGGCGGCCAGCTCTGTGGAGGTGATGGCTGTAGCTGCAAAGAATGTGGCCTTGCTGGCTTACAACCGCTGGTACCAGGACCTGGATAAGATTGACCAGAAGGATTTAATGCACAAGGTCAAGACTGAGCTGTGAGGACCCCAGGGAGAGCCCGGGAACTTCTGCACCACAGTGAAGATGGTCACACCCACGGCAGCCCAGGACCGACAGCCACATTCCCTGACAAGCTGCTCTTTTGACCCCTTATGTATTTTTTCCCTCCAGTGTGGGTCCAGGTGATCCACCACCTGCTATCTATCTTAAGGACCTTTACAGTTTTGAGGGAGAGGATAACAAAAGGGAAGGGAATTCAAGCCAGTGTACTTGTCTTATTTATTTATTATTTTTTAAGGAGAAATAAAAAACCATCTTCTCAAGCTGCTTCTAACTTGGTTTTCTAGCTAGGAACCAGGATGACTATGGAATATAAGGCAGAAAACTCTTGAGTATGAATTTTTTTAATTCCACTACCTACTCCCAAAATGTACAATCATTTGAGGCAACCTACAGTAAAACATTTACAACCCAGTAGTTACTAGAGAATAGAAGGGAAGATCAGAAAACCTAAGAAATTATAATAGCTCCTGTTTGCTCTGGGCCTGATGGATGGGAAGTACCTAGTTCAGAATTTTCTTAGATACCATCTCCAAGCCTCTCAACAACACTGTACATTGTAGGAGATGGCTGGTAGGACCTGAAGAAGAGATGTTTACCCCAGCACTGCCATTGGTATAGCTCTGAGCTTCCTGGCAACCAGTGCGAAAAGAAACAAACTAAGCTACAGGAAGAGGGAAGCTTTTCCTTGGTATCTGTAGGAACTGAGCATTCTGGTTTTTATGCAAGGGTTCAAGGGTATTATGACATCTGTCTTGCAAAGAAGAGAAGTCCTCAGATGGTGGAGGGCAGATATTCCTCACTCCCAAACCTTCATCTCAGCAGAGGAAAAGAAGAAAAGAAGGTTATAGGACAGAGTTGTTCAGAGATTAATCTGGTACTTTCCCCTCTAACTTCAGAGGACAGGACAATTGTGCTTTGCCTTTTCTACAAATCAGTAGAGTTTTGTGTGGTTGTTTGTTTGTTGTTGTTATTTTGGTTTGGTTTTTGGTTTTTTGGTGTGGTGGGGGTGGGGGAGAGACTGGGGATTGAACCCAGAGGCACTCAACCACTGAGCCACATCCCCAGCCTTTTTAAAATATTTTATTTAGAGACAGGGTCTCACTAAGTTGCTTAGGGCCTGCCTGAGTTGCTGAGACTGGCTTTGAATTCATGATCTTCCTACCTCAGCCTCCTGAGCCACTGGGATTATAGGCATGTGCCACCATGCCTGGGTTTTTTGCTTTTTTGAGAAAGTAAAATCTTTATTCTCTTTGGATCAGTGTCTTTGTGTAAAAGGAAGAGAATGTAGAAATGGAGCCCTAGCCATCCTGCAAGCATGGTCCATGGGCCAACCACCACATCTGAATCTCCTGGAGAAGGGAAGCTTGGCAAGGTGTCCCATCCAGACTTGCTAAACCAGGCTTCAGGGAGAAGCCTGGGTGCCCAAAGGAAACATCTCTGCCAAATGATGCTATGTTAATACTGTGGCTTTCCTAACAGAAACAGTCCCCAGAGGTCATCCAGCTAACTTTCCTCTCTTTGCAGAGACGAAGATAAAAGCCCAAAGAGAGAAAGTAACTTGTCGAGGTCTCCTTGGTCACAGAACAACTCAAATCTGAATTCCGTCCTGTTAACTGAGTTCAACATGGGGCAAAATACCATTCCAGATGAGGTGCCCAAACTGGCTGTGAGGTTGTTTCCACTATGTCAGCGTGGTGGTAATGGCAGTGAAAGAGTTGGAGACTTTAAAGTAAAAGTGGCATTCATTCACTGCTTATTACAGACATCATGACACCTCACTAAGAAGGCTTTGGTTGAAGTAGTAGAATACTGAACTCAAACTCTGAAGCAATAAAAATGGTATTGGGTATGACTTGAATGGCAGGCACACAGAATTGCTATCCCCAGCCCTGTTACTTCTCTCATAGCCCAAGATGGCTGCTGGCAGCTCCCCAGGTGAAAAGTTCTTTTTCTACAACCACTAAACCCAATTCCAGGCTCTGGGCCAGTTGGACCACCCCTGAACCAATTCCTGTGGGCAGGGGAGTGCCACATGCTGATTGGCTTAGGACCTAGATACCAGACCATTCACTGTGACACAGGAGATAAAATTAAGCTGAATCCGAATGTTTATTATCCGAGTGTTTGGGTTGGAGGGATGGAGAGAGCCACAATGTCAGCCACATGCTGATATCTCGAGTCCAGTGATATGGCATCTTTTTGTTTTGTTTTGGTAACAGAGATTGAACTCAGGGGTACTCAACCACTGGGCCACATCCCCAGCCCTACTTTGTGTTTTACTTAGAGACAGGGTCTCATTGAGTTGCTTAGCACTTCAATGTTGCTGAGGCTGGCTTTGAACTTGCGATTCTCCTGTCTCAGCCTCCTAAGCTACTGAGATTACAGGCATGCAACCACCGTGCCCGGCTGACATGGCATTTTGTGATGGCCTTTGCTTGAAAAGAAGATGGCGTAAACTGTCATGGTGTAATTGATAACTGGTATCAGGCCAGGGGAAACACAAAACATATCCCTAATAATCACCCTTCCCTTGTGTCCCTAGGGAAGTACGTGCACAGACAATACAAATGGGGACAGTTACATGTGATCCTTAGTCCTCAGCTGGGGCTTTGGCTGCCTGCCCAAGCACGACTGCAGTGGAACTGGCTGTCCTTCAGAAACCTCCTTCACCTGAGAGGCAGGACCAGACAGTTCAGAACCTAAGTCAGCCAAAATACCCACGCTGCCTGCCTCCCCAAGCCCAGGCCTGAAAGTTGGATCTCCTCTCTCCCTTCCTTGCATACAAGGAAGAAAAGACAGATTCCAGAAAGGGGAACAAGAACCAACAACAAGTCTTTGTCCTAGGGCACCCCACCATCAGCAGCAGCCTTCTCATACCAGAATAGAAGCCCCCAAAGGCCCACAGACTCCTAGGGAAAAAATAGAGCATTTGTAGAGAGCCCTACAACTACCCTCATCCTCAGTAGTCTCTGATGTGTGTAGTGTATTTTGCATTTAAAACCCTTCACAAGAACTCCCCCTCCTAGAGTTGGTGACCTAAGCAACATTTCAGCACTCTGTGGGAAGCAAGGGACCACTGTACTGTGTGAAGGGTAGAATTGGGGAGTGCAAGTAGAGAGGTAAGGGACACCTTTGTGTTCCAACCATCACCAAGAAGCATTTGAAGGAGCTAGCGGCAGATCTTGGGCTCCCCCTGGAGGCCTCTATGCGTTAATTCTCCAAGCGTTGCACCCCTATTGTGCTCTGGGCACTGTGGAGTTGGGGAGCGTGTTGGAGGTGCAACCTTGAACAGGCAAGTGAATTGCCCACCTCATGGAGCGGAAGTTTCTCACTAGCAAGTGGAGAAACAGGATAGACTCAGTCCAATGAAGGTTCTGGAGTGCCTGGTGGATCTACTTCTCTGAGTTCCCTACTGCTGCCTTTAAACCAGGAACTGGTTTTAAAGCTCATGATGCCAGGCTCCCAAGTTGCAGAATGGGAAAAAAAAAAAAAACTGGAAATCCCTAAATCCCATCCATTCATTCACAGATGAGGAATCAGAAGCCCCCAGACATGTAAAGGTTATCATCCATGTATAATGGGCATTTTTGAGCATCTCCATATTTCTGATGCTCTAGTGGAGGATAGGTCCTCACCAGGAAAAAGGGACTTCCTTCCCAAATCCCTATATCCCTAGGCTACCTTGGTCTCCCAGGACTAAAAAGAAACCCTGCTGGAGCTCAGCTCTTCCCACACCCTCACCTTACCCCCCAAAAGGCCTTAGAAGCGTGTGCCTTTCATGTGGGGCTGAAGTCTTAAGACCTGGAATACACAGGACTGGGAGTGGGGCATAGGACCAGGGATGAAGCTCAGTGATAGAGCAATGCTTGAGCATGCGTGAGGCCCTGGGTTTGAACACCAGTAGGAAGAAGGAGGAGGAGAAGAGGAGGAGGAGGAGGAGAAGAGGAGGAGGAGGAGGAGGAGGAGGAAGAGGAGGAGAGAAAAGAAAAAAAAAAGAGCCATTTATGGGGGCCTTAGAGTCAAGCAACCCCAAGGAAGGACAACTCTGCTGAAGGGATCGGCTCAGCTGGCACATGAAATCTATTTTCCATGTGTCTGGAACCAGGCCTAAGCTTCTTGGAGTAATTTTAACCAGTATCCACTCTAGAACAATACCAAAAAAGGTAAGTTACTTACCACCCCAGACAGACACATACCTAACCATTTGGTTTTTCATGAGTTAGACCCTTGAAAACACTCAGCACTGGGGCTACTTTAAGCAGTAAAGCTAGGAAGCCAAGGACAGGATTCCTACAGAGGCTGTTGGTCTTTACACTGAAGTTAATTCTAAAGTGCTAACTCTTCTTACCCTCAGAAAATAGCTCAAGCCCCTCAGCTGTCTTGGAGGGAGAGTATTTTTAGACACTTGGACAGCTGAGTTGGGATTTTCTGCAGGGGTTAGAGGGCCAGGGGGAGGATTGAATTGCTAGGGGCTAAAGGGGGAAACATGGGGTTAGCTGGAGGGTCAAGAGCCAGCATGGGCAAGGAGGGCCATGCCGCATTTTTTCATCAGTAAAGTGTCTTGATAAAAGCCAGGAGTTACCAAAGTGTGGTCCCGGACCAGAGGCAGCAGCAGCACCTGGAAACCACTATACTACAAAGAAAAAGAAACCATTGCATAAAAATGAAAAATATCCAGTTCCCACCTAAATCAGGACCTCTAGGTTTGGAGCCCAACAGTCTGCTTCAACAAGCCTTCCAGGGGATTCTGAGACTTGTGAGAGTTTGAGAACCAGCAAACTGTCTAAACGAATGTGATGTGGACAGAGCTGGGTGAAAGAACGACCCGCATTGACTCCACCCCACTCCTGACAGTTTCTTCAAAGCCAGGGATCCCAGCCCAGACAACAGTATAGACACACATGAAAATTGTAAGGGGTCACTGGCCCATGTTGAAAATGCCTAGTCTTTGGCAACCTGAAGGCCCTTTGGGGGCCCTAAGTCTGATCTGCAGAAAAATCTCAAAACTGAGAGATATCTTATGAATCATCTAATAACCAGGCAAGGACTGACCTCCCAACCTCTTTGAGAGGCCCAGTCCTAGCTTGATGCTTCCAGGGTGCAGAGCTCACCACTTCAAAATAGTCATTTTTCAGGATCCTGAGTGACTTGGATAGAGTCAACTATTAATTCCTATATGGGTTTATGTCTACCAAGTTCCAATAATATGGGTGGAATACAGGCTTATAATCCTGAAAGGAAGCATGTTACTGTCCTAAATGATAGAGATGACGGCAGTTTTGTTGTTGTTGTTGTTTTGTATTTTGTTATATATATATTTTAATACTGGTGACTGAACCCAAGGAACACTTTACCACTAAGCTTTATCCCCAGCCCTCAATTTTTTTTTTTTTTTTTTAAAGAGAGAGTGAGTGAGGAGGGAGAGAGAGAGAGAATTTTTTAATATTTTTTTTGAGACAGGGTCTGGCTAAGTTGCTTAGACCTTGCTGAATTGCTGAGGCTGGCTGGTATTTGGGATCCTCCTGCCTCAACCTGAGATTACAGGCAAGTGCCACCAGGTCCAGCTTGAATGAAGTGTTTAATAGCCTATATCAGAGTTAAAGGAGTCAGAGTGACGGCAAATCCTCCTTTATACTGAACGGAAGTGGGCCTCCGGGGATGGCCAAGCCCCATCCCACTTTGGGCTTCAGAGCCGCAAGCAGCAAACCCAAGTCTTGCTCTACAGAGGACAGCATTTACTCTTCATCAACCTTGCAGTCGCGGGGTGCAGGGAGGCGGTCTTCAGCAGCCGGCCTGCCTTCTGATGCCGAAGGTTCAGAAGATGCAGGTGCAGCCTACGGCTATGGTCTCCATGACCGCGCGCTGGCGACAGGGCCCGGTTCGCGGCGGTGGCGGGCAGAGGCGCCGGCGCACGGGCACTTGGCTGAACACGGGCACGCTCACCATGCTGCGGTC